CCATCTCCATCGTTAGGTCCTTCTCCAAGCAACCTCAAAGTAACATAGTTCAAGACAGACCCAAACATGGTGCTGGGGCCCTCAATATGTAGACCCCAACCTCCATCTTCATTCTGAAACCATATCCGCCAGTAGTAAACGTTGATTTAAAAATCAGCGAGTAGAAGGAATAAAGCATTGCAAGAAAACAGAATTCTACTAAAGGTAGGAGAAATTTCCTGCCTGGTGATTATAGAGATAACGGCGCATTTCTTGTTTATGTTGTTCTGACAAAACTGTATTCAGAGCTCCAGTTATGGATAGCGTAATTATCTGGAAGCATGTAAGCAGAATTAGATTTCATCAAACATGCAAAATAAATCTCAGAGACACAAAGTTTACAAACTAACCAGCCCTGGTAGAAGAAACATAGGACCACCATAATCTCCTGGCCAGTGCCCGTCGTGCGCCTGTATTGTTGAATAGAAACCGACACCTCTCTTTAACGTGTTTTCTACCATCTTGTCTGTAACATCTTCACTATCTTTAACTTTGACTTGAGGTAAAACTTGGCTGATCATGTTTTCTCTTGAAAACTACCGAAAGAGAGTGAAAGAGAGATAATCTTCAGATTAGAAAATGATTGTTTAGAGAAAATAAATGCATTAATATCAGAGGATTGTAGCCAGACAAAGTGGCGTCATATATTAAGTCCTTATGGGAGATCAAAGGACAGAGATCAGAAAATCGAGGAGAAAGCTAAGAAAAAAATGGTTGACAGCCACGAAATTACTAACTACATAGACACAACAGAGTACAATAAAAAGTAAAGAAAATTCTTCAAAGAATTGTAGTCATAAGTTAACTCAGATGCTCGGATTTTAGAACAAATGCACAACTGGTATCACAACTCTTTAGATGTAAGTAAATAAGTAAAATAATCATTCATCTTGTAAGTTCTTCGATAACGTAGTCATTAGATTGGATTTTTCTTTTTATTGGTTTTTTTCACTTTCATTAGGTAGATGAAAATGAAACTATAGATATGGGTCTACTACAAAAGCAGATGCCCACCATCAAGAGAAGCAATTCATTAACTCCAGCTTTTGTTGCTTCATCTTAGAAACCTAGAAACTAGCCGTCTATGCTCTACTTGTACTCATCCATCTATTATACACTAGATTCTCATACAGATCCATTAAGTATACTTGGTATTAAAAAATGAGAGAAGCTATTGTGCGGTAAAGTGGCTATTATAATGCACTCAATTAGAAACAGCAAGATACAAATGGATCTCGGTGCGCTAAGCTCACATACTCCTGACAACTTGAGTAGATTTCAAGGGACTGCAGATCAAATGATGATTAGCCAGGGTGTGCAGTAAGTACCATACTTCCTACACAAAAACTTTAATGTTCATGCCTCGTTCTCCTTTGAGATTAGTGAATGAGGAAAAACTAGTTAGGGATAAAGCCCTGTAGATCAAAACTTGAGAAAAGCATGACCTCGCTCACTCTCTCTTCATGTCACTCCAGATTTAATGAAACAACACACTACTAAGTATCACTGGGAAAAACGATGGTCTACACTTCCTCAGCATTCATGACCACGGAAAGTCAACGGATTAAAATGAGGGAAGGAAGCAAAGGAGAATAGAATACCTGAAGGCGCATAAGCAGATCAGAGCTATGTTTCTTCACCAATCGATTCTCTGAAAAAGACTTTCTCGCTTCCTCGATGTCGGCAAGCTCCTCAGGCGTCCCGAGCTTCGGATCGAACTCCCAAAACTGCCTTCCGACGTTATTATTCGTGGTTCTCAGCCACGGACTACCTCCTTCGGCAATCTTCAGTTTCCACATTTTTCGGTCGAGGAAAAAGAAGAGAGGAGAAAATGGAGATCCCACTTGATCGCAAAAATAAGTTGAATCAGTGAGGGAAGTTCGGACATTTCGCGTAGAATTAAATAGAAAGAAGAAATAGTTACCGGATTCGAAGGGATTAAAGGAGTGGATGAAACGGAGGATTGAAGAAGAGGGAGAGATAGATCACAGATGCAAATGAGCAGATGCGAACCATCAACCATGTGAATACTATACAATTGCGATAGTGAAAGCTGTGGACCCCACTGTAGCTGCTTAAACAATTTTTTATATATATATTTGTCGTCACTCAACAAAACTGACTTGGGAATTATTATTTGATTTCAAATAGCTATATTTTTATTAGATATAATTATTACCAGATACACTTTTACAGATTTATAAATCTATTAAGGTTTTCTTTTTCATTCATCTTTAGAAAATATTAAGATTCTCTCTTTTCTCGCGCCCATATTGTTTCCAAAATTAAATAAAAATGACTGATTTGTGAAGAAACAATTCTTAATTAAAGACTTTAAAGATTATTTTTTGTGGGAGACGTGGCACGTTATAGTTGGTTGGGAAAAAAATTAGGAGAAAAAAAAAATTTTATCAAACATGTTTTCTCTTAATTTTCTCCGTCACGAACTCTCTCCGACTCCTCATTCTCTCCGTCGACTTCTTTATCTCCGATCTTAACAAAAGTCTTTTGTTTTCTACAGTTTTTAGAGTCTATTCTCTTACAAGATCATCACTGTTTTTTATTTACAGCTCGAAGAAATCTGGTAAAAGCAAGAGACTTAGAAAGGGAGGTAATCGTTTCTGGAAGAACATTGGTCTTGGTTTCAAGACTTCCAGAGAAGCTACTAAAGGTAATTAATTACATTGTCTTGAATCTCGTTTGTGATGTTATATGTTATTGTTGAGTTTAAATATTTGAAGATGCCCCTTGTCACTCTTGATTCGGATCCTCTAATGTTACTGCTTGTGATTGATCCTATATTTCATGGCTGAGCAAATGCAGCAACTGAAAGTGATAACACTTGATTTTGACCACTTTCATGGATCACTTTTAGTATCTTATACAGGTATTTTCACTCAGTTTTAAAGGTTTTATAAGTGTTTTCCATGTTTTGGAGTTTTAAAAGGTTTTTCAGGAAACTTGGAACTTTGCAGTGCATTTTGGAGCAAAAGTACATTTTTAGATAAATTCAGACCGTCAGAAGTTTGGCAACCAATGAATACCTTTTCACCATCCGATCATCCCCAAATTTGGAGACATTATAGAGGAGACAACCAGCTTTCCAACACACTTGGAATCAAAGCAATCCAACTGTTAGATCTCCAGATATCATCAATGCACTGAAAGCCGATCAACACAAGTCCAGTCAAGCACAGGTGCTTTCACCCGCGGCCAGCCTTCTTCCCACCGCGGCTCAAGAGGTTTCACCCCCGGTAGATCTATGTCCAAACCTCAGGAGCCCAACTAAGGCCCAAGACACTTCCTGTACCCAATTTACAAGCCCTAGACGCCCAGACTTGGAGAAACACTATAAATACTCATTTTTATGTCTTTTGTAAGAAAGCCTCTTTCTTCTCTTTGAGAGAGAACTCATTTGTAGTTTTAGGTTTTATTTTTAGGGAAAATTGGAAATTTAAGACAAAAAATGGAAGAACTTATCCTCTTAGTATTTTTTTGAGTTTTGGCAATTTTGGACAAAAATAACCTTATTAAATATTTTTATATTTCAAAATAAATATTTATATATACATTTAAATTTAGAAAATTCTAAAAAAAGAAAGAATATTATTCTAAAACATCGATTAAGGAAATACATATATTTAAAATATATTTATTAATTGTTCTAGAAAACGTCTTGTACATTTCTAGAGTTTTATAGAATTTGATTTCTAGTATATGGTATAAGATCTACCGAGTATAGATACATATTCTACTATTTGTTTTGTTTTCTATAACATCGTGTAGAATACGTTATCTAGAATTCGTAATATATTCTACACATTCTAGAATATGCATTCTAGAAATCGTTATGCATTCTATGTTTTCTAGAATTAGACTTCTACTTATTTGTCTTCGTCTAGTGAATATAGAATCAATATTCTACTAAACGGTTAGTAAAATCTGAAAAAATCTAGGATCAGATGTATCCAACAAAAATTAAATATTTGAAAATATTTTTTTTTTCATGTTTTTAACATATTTTTGAAGATTTTTTTTCTTTTCTTCTTCTCTTTGATGGCATTTTCACAAGATTTCCACCCTAATTACAGTTTTCTGTGTTTCTGTTCTGGTTATTCAATTATGGTGCATATCTATGTTATCTGTGGTATATGGAGATCGATTCTCAATAAGAATTGGGTTTTTGAAGTCGATGAAGAAAAAAGAGGTCGATTAGTAACTTTGGAATCTAGTACGACTCTGGCGGAGTTAACAGCTATGGTGTTAGAGGACTTTGGAATTGTCGACCACAGTGCCGAGTTCAGTTATCTACCGAGCAATTTGGTTGACAACTTAAGCTCTCCACCGGTGATTATCACAAATGATCGGCAACTGAAAAATTTCATTGGTTATGCAAAAAAAATGCATCTACACGTCTTTGTGTGTCGTTTAAATCGCAAGTACAGAATCAAAGTGTAAAATTTGATTTGAATGACGAGCCCTATGATTCACATAGTGCTGAAGACGTCGATCACACTGTGATAGGAAAGTCAGAACAAGTTTTTACTGATCAGCGGAAACATGTCTCAAAAACCAATTTGCGTGAAAGCCAAGATGAGGTCGTCTCTGGATATGATGCCCTGATTTGTAATACTGAAGAAGTAAGTAACAAGGGAGGTCGGTTTTGGATGATTGAAGCAGTAACGTAGGGACAAAATTTCAGAAACAAAAGCAAACTGAAAGCAACTTTTGAAATCTGTGCTATGAAGCATAACTTTGACTACAGTGTGATACAATCAACAAAAAAATGGTGGTCTATTCGCTGCAAAGATGGTGAATGTAATTGGCGTGTTCGCGCAGAGTGTCTAGAGGGGTCAACGTATTTTAAAATCAACAAGTATGTAGGTGAACATACTTGTGCGCCATCTAGGAAAAACAAAATAGCTAGGACAGCGTCAGCTAAGACAATCGGTAATCTGATTATGCAGAAGTATGAGGGTGTTAAGGAAGGGCCTAAACCAAGAGAAATTATACAGATTATGCGTACAGAACATGGTTGCGAGATCTCGTATGATCAAGCATGGGAGTCCAAAGAGTATGCAGAAAATGCTGTAAGAGGTATTCCAGAAAAAGTTATGGCAAAATTCCAAAATACTTGCACATGTTGAAAGAAGCCAATCCGGGTACGCATACTCACTACTTAACTGATTCTGATGATAGATTTAAGTATCTATTTATTTCATTTGGGCAATCGATCAGAGAATTCTACCAAGCTATTCGTAGAGTGATAGTTGTTGATGGTACTTTTCTGAAAGGTAAATACAAGGGAGTTCTGCTCGTCGCTAGAGCTTTAGATGGTAACTCGAATCTGTATCCAATTGCTTTTGGTGTTGTTGATTCAGAGAACGACTTGTCGTGGGAGTGGTTTCTAAGGCAACTAAACGCAGTCATCGCAGATGATCAGTTGTTGGCGTTTATTTCTGATCGAAACACTTCTGTCCTTAAAGCACTAGCTAAAGTGTTTACACAGTCTACACATGGAATTTGCATCCACCATTTGTTGAATAACGTTGTCACATTTTTCAAGACAAAGGGTTTGACTGGTTTGATTGCAAAGGCATCAAAAGAATATCGAGTTGCTGATTTTGAGAGGAAGTTCAATGATATTAAGAATATTAGTCCGCTTGTTGGAAATTATCTGGTTGAGGCTGGCATCGAAAAGTGGGCTCGTTGCAAATTTTCAGGATTCAGGTATGATGTTCGAACCACTAACCCAGCCGAATCGATGAATACTGCATTGAGATCACCTAGAGAGTATCCAGTAATACCTTTGTTGGACAGCATCAGATAACTTTTTACCAAGTGGTTTTACAAGCGTGGACGATTAAGCGCAAAGCATAAGGACCCTTTAACCATTGAGGTTGAGAAAAAGATTGGTAGGAGGATTGAAAAGGGTAAAACATTTATTGTTTATCCGGTTAACCAGAATCAGTTTCTTGTTAGAGGTGACAAAATTGACTGCCTGGTTGATTTGGAGCTTAGATCGTGTTCTTGTGGAAAGTACGACTTGCTGAAAATTCCTTGCAGACACGCCATTAAAGCAGCTTCTTCAGTGGACAAAGAACTACAACCACTAACTGATGACATGTACACTACTGCAACATGGAGAAAGGCTTACGAGGAATGCATTAATCCAATAGGTGTTCCTGAGGATTCATGGCAAGTTCCGGTGGATGTTGAACACGCCAGAGTTCTACCACCAGAAACACGAAGAGCAGCTGGTCGAAGAAAAAAGCGACGATACGAAACGATGGAGGACAAGATACGCTCCTCACAAGGATCTCAAGGATCTAGGAAACACAAGTGTAGCCGCTGTGGTGTTGCAGGTCACAAGAGAGGGACATGTGACATACCAATATAGACTACTTTTATTTTTTTAGTTTGCATGACACAACACTTATGGTCGTTTGAATTTTGTTTTCTTTGCTCGTTTGAGTTTTCTTTGCGACACTTTATTTGTTTTATCCGTGAACACTTTGTTGGTTTTAGACATTTAAATCTAGTTGGTTATGTTATATGACAGCAGAACGTTTACTGCAGGGTGCTAATTGTTAAGAAATATCGGTTCAATTGACTGCGACGTAAGCATGAAACAAAAAAAACAAAACTGTATGCGTTAAGGATAAATAAAAATAAATTGTGAAGATTAATCGAATGAGGTGCATAGCACCGCCGGTTACGTACTGTCACTCCTACTATACGCTCGTGTGTTCGATTCGCATCTGATGCCAAGTTTTTTTAAAAAAAATATCTCAGAATTCCGTAATTCCCTAAATTCAGGTCCCGCGATTCATCTCTAATAGTCTCTTTTATCTCATCGCCGACCCCAGAACCATTTTTAATCCGATTTAACTCAAGATCAAAGGTATATACATATGTTTTCTGTTTTGATTTCATATGTCTCCATCAATTCCATTGATTACTCTGATTTGATCTATTTGTTTTGAATAGTAAAATGAGTTACATCTCAACTGGATCAACGATCAAAACAAAGGAGATTCCCAGAAAATGTGTATGTGGGGAGAAAACCATAATTTGTGTGTCAACTACTGCAAAGAATCCTAATAGAAAATTTTACAAATGTGTTGCTTCTAAAAAGGTTTGGACAATTTTTACGATTTATGTTAGGGATTCAAGATGTTTCTTTTTAAAATTGAATTTTATTTTGTATTAGGGTGACTATGGCCACGTTTTCAAATGGGTGAATGAAGCCAAGCTAGAAGAGTTTGATGTCATCATGGAAAATCAGGAGGTCTTTGATCAAGAAATGAAAAAAAAATTTCAAACAAAAAAGAATTTGATGGAGAAGATCGACAATCTTGTCGATCACCAGAAGAAGATGGAGGCAAAAGTAAAGAAAATTATTTTCTGGTCTGGAATTTGTGTGGTTTGGTGCTTTTTTTATACTATATTTTAGATGTTTAGTTGGTGCTCTTTCACGCTCTCCCATCAGTTGTTTTGTTGGTTTTCTTTGTGATCACATTCAACGACTTGTTTTTTGTTTCAATTAAGGTCTATAAATTCTCGCCTATATACAGGTGAATCCAAAATAAACAAAGCTTCTTCCAAATAAAATGAAGTTAGTCATTCAGTGGTTGGTGATTAATCTTTTGACATGTTCTACAAGACCATAGGCCTAAGCTAAATCTAATTAAAAGATACCGAAAACAGTGTTCACCATAAAAAAAAACAAAATCCTTCAAAGCTCTACAATTTCACTCTCCGTTGCTGGTGTCGGTTCATACCTTGACATTCGTTCGATTAGTACCGGATCCTGTGCTGCATGCCAAAGATCACATACAATCTTCAACCGAGCCATCTTAATGTTCTCGTCGTCGAGCATAGTAAAGCTATGTCCAAACAAGTGGCACTCAATGAATTTCAATGCGTAGACTCCACAATCGTTTTGACTCTTGTTTATCTTCGGCTTCATTGGAGTGTACAACACCGAATATGGTACAACTTTCAGATGTTTCTTGTCCTTTGGAGCCTGTACTTCCTGGACTATCTTTGGGATGATAACAGCGAATGCTTCTATATTCGTAATGTGTTTCGAACCTCCACATTCGAACACTTCAATCGTTCTTAACTTGAAGTTGATACACAATGATATCCAGTGATTGTTGTTGACGTTCATTGGAGTGTAAAGACGATCAATATCTATATCCCATGTTTTTCATGTTCTTCCATGTGATGGCAGTTCACCAGTTCCGTAGTGTAAGATCCATTCACTCAGTTAGAATCCCCTCTTACACGCCAGGAATTTACGGTACTCGCCAATGATCTGCTCAGCGAATAGGCAGTTCATAAAGGCAACTCGATCTGGTATCCACCGACGAAAAGTGGTGTTTTCCCGAAACAAGTACATGACTGCGTCCATATCCTGCGGAATGATTAAACCTTTACTATGTTATATACCTGGTAAGTCAAATATCCTTAATTTTATTGAACAACTTACAGGTGTGCGAAGGAAATTTTTAGATCCAAATATGCGATGAGCTAATTCAAATGAAAACGTGACTGGACCAAACGGCATATCCCTGAAATGTGTTAAAAAAGTATTGGGAAAATGAAGATAAACTTTAGCTTCAAACAAAAATTTGGCTGATTAAAACAAAAAAATTACACAACTTACATGGGAAACATTGATCAAGTAAAAAATTTGTCCCAAGAATCATCAGGCACGTAGACTAATGCATTATCAGCTAAGTCTTGTGGGTTAGAATCTTTCAAATGTAGGATCGTGAAAGGTGTTTTGGTTGACTTTTTTCCCACTGTTTTTGGACTCAAAATTTTGGTAAGGCCCATCGATGGCTGCGTTGGAAATAATCCGTCAACAAGTGTATCTTGACTAAGATGGCCCATTGTTTTTTGAAGAAATTCTTGGGTACCCATTCGTAAATCCAGATCTGGAATCTGACTAAACGATAAATCATCAAAATCCAAGCGTTCTCCATCACTATTCACAGCCTGGTATCAAAAGGAGAAAAAATTAAAAAGTCTACAAGCCAATATATGCGATGTAATTCATTATCATAACTAAGAGGTGCAAGTGTTGTATTACAATTAACTAATCATGACAATTTACATATTTATGTTACAACCCTATTACAAATGAACTTACACAGGAAAAAACAACAACAATAACACACAAACACAAAAAGTAATTTAGTTTTTAGAGTTTCTCGTCTTCCTTACCGTTTTTGCAGGCTCTGGATTGTTCACACGCGAAGACTTACGTATAGGTGGAGAAGTGTTGACAACGGGTGTTTCATTGCTCGTTGATGTGTCACTGGTTTTTTTGGGTATACCAGCAACATTGAATGAGTTATTCAGCTTCTCCATGGACAATGTGATTTGGTTCTCTATCTGGTTCAGCTTTTCATCAATTTTTTTCTCAATCCTCTCCTCCAAAGCAGCGATCGAAGCATCAAACATACTTTGAATCCAAGTCTTTATGTCGTCGTCCAGAACTTTCATGCTTTCCCTTGATCTTTCACACAACAGCTTCTGTTTGCGTGTTGTTGCTCCGTAATCACAAATCCATTTTTTCCAACGAGCTGAACCAGAAGCTGAGCTTCCTACACCATTTGGTATCCCAATCTCACTTTCACCATTGACAGCCTCATCGTCTTGCTCTTTCTCGGACTCCAAATCAGCATTATCTTGCTCGCCATCTGTTAATTCATTCACGATATTGGCATCCTCAACTTCCCAGATTTGAACACTCCAATCCGTCTCCTGAGAAATCAGGCTCTTCATGACATCTACTCTACCATTCATCTCATCAAGCCGCAAGAAATCTGACGAGTCGACTACATCACAATTCCCGGTAGCTGAAATATATGGAAAAAGCAAATGCTACAAGCAAAAAATGATAAAAACCAACGTCATTTGTTAGAAACAAAGACACGTATAAACTTTTAACAAAGTAAATAAGACTACTTACATGTGATTTGAAAGTGCTTTCCAGTTGACTAATGTCATTGTATGACACTCTAGCAATTCTTTTCCACTTAGTGCACCGAGGAATAAAAGTGTCTTCAGTCCCAACTCTTGTGGCCAACAACGTACCAAAATCTGGGATTGCTTCCATTACCCAAATCTGAAGAGCTATAGAAAACCCGTCTAAATGATACCCTTTCATCTGACTCAGCTTCTCACGTGTCTTAATAATGTTGTCGACCAGGTGATCATACGCATGAATACCCCACGGGTACTTCTGGAGCTTCGTTATATCCATCGCTAAAATGATGTATTCACGCCGAATTAAAATCTGTGCATCCTGCGCCATCACAAACCCCGCAATTGTACAGATGTAGATCAGCCTCAATCTATCCTCGCGTGTCCATGTGTTCACTTGCTGTAGGTGCACCTTCAGCAATTTATCGAGGGTTACTCCTCCATTATTTCTGAGCACAGAACTCCAGAAACCGCCATCATCTTTCCATGTTTTGAAGTTGCAGTTCCCAGGGTCTTTATAGTTGAGCCCGGTGATTGCATGGAATTCTTGTAAAGAAAATCGCAAAGGTCTCCCAGCAAAGACGAACCATAGCTCGTGAATCTTGTCTGTGATGAGCTGCTTACACATGAAACTATGTATGAGTCTCGCCGAGTAGCCAAGTCTGTTTTTATTAATCCTAAGAATCAGACCGAAGACAGGATCTTGCAAAACTTTCTTGTACTCATCTGGCAGCTTTTTATCCAACTGCCTTAGAATGGATAATGAACATCGGTTGGTAATCTTCTCAATCGGATGCACACTTCCAGGCGGAAACAGCAATTTCGGTAACTCGTTGGAGTTCATACCTACAAAGTATACAAAATCTTATGTCAGTATCACTATAAATAAAGAATAGCATGATAACACTTCAAACTAGAAATGTTTTCATTAAAGAGTTTACACGTAAAATGGCTTTTTATAAAGAAGACCCATATCCACAGAAATAACAAAATACGCCTATAATTTAAACACTGCCGTATACACTCTATACCAATTTTATAATGTGAATATAAGAGACCAACCAAACAAATTGCAGAAGCTGAGAATGTCTTACGAAACTGATGAAAACTTATGTATGATCAACAACTCATTACTATATTATTCCAGCCATCTATTTACAGGAGCTGTCTACAACACTCACACAATAAATATAAAACCTTAAGACTTACGTCTAACTTACGTCCGACTTATGTCCGGTGCCGTCTATACTCTAAACCAATGTCCACACTCGAATTTATCATGAAACAGATTCCATTATATAAACCAAAATCACGCAAACAACCAAAGATGACAGAACCCAATAGCCACCAATTACAAACACACAACTAATCAAATGTCTGAAACAGAAAGTAACGCAA